ATTAAATGGTTTTTCTAAAATAAATTTTTTTGCAATCACCATTTTTTAAAGTTATTTCAAACAACAAAACATAAAATTAAGTATTAGTATAATTTTGAACCGTTGTGTCTGTTCATTAACTCGTATTCGAACTGAATTACAAATGAGCTGTTTATCAACAACATTACAGTCGATTTCCTTTTAGTTCATATAGATGACCTTCATGAATGTCAATGATAATTGATAATGAATGAAATATTAATCTAATATCATTGTTATTAGTTCCAGTTTAACTATGTAACCACTTGTTCTGTGGACCTATCTTGATGTCTTAAACCAGTTTTAATAACCTATCATAAGTTTTCGGTAATGAATTCTGATTTATAGTGATGTATGTAATTTTTGTTATATATTTTACCAGTAGAACACTGAACAATAAATACATTATTAAAAATTGAGGTAAATATAATAAAACGATTTAAATAATATCATCTATTAATTGAATCGATGTTCCAATTTAAAATATAACTATACTAGAAGGGTTCGCTACTAAAGTTAATTTTAGTTTGAATGCCCTAACATTTTGATAAAATTAAAGTTAGTTTTTGTTGTCCAATTCTAATTCTGAAAAAAGATTTGATTTTAGCTGATAAAGATCTTACGGAACACTCTGAAAAATGTAATCTTATTTAATTTTTAAGTGTTATTGAAAACTTGAAAATATGGATTTTAGCCATAGCATGTCAACATCTTAGATTTATATAATCATCCAGTATGTATAATATATTAATATATATTTAAATAGGTACTAGATATATTTTATATTATCTTAAAACAATTAACTGTATTAAAATGAACTTTCTCATTTCAGGACAAGCCTTGCTATTGAAGCGACAACCATAATTGAATTTAATTCAGGGCCTGAACCCGTTAAGAACCGTTAATTTTCAGGAACTTCGGGAATCTAAAATCGTTTACTATTATTTTGAACCTTTTCCTATTCCTGGTTATTGGTTATCGGTTAGCTTGATCATTTTTTCAGTTAAGGCGGGTTCACACTGCACTGTGTCATGTCGTGTCGTGAAATGTTGCCGTGCTCAAATTGGTCCAACCACGTGGATAATTTTTTGGTTTCTACCAACAATTCTACGGATTCTTTTACGAATACCATGATGTTCCCACATATACCACGAAGTTGATTTCATCCAACTTTTGAACGTGTGGTTACTGATTGAATAGTGATAATACATGAATTCAAATATTATTTTGTTATCGATTGATCGAAGAACTCATTTATGATATAGAGTGGTATAATGTTTTTAAAAATGGAAAAAGTTCATGATACGACACGACACAGTGCAGTGTGAACTCACCTTTAACCTAAAGGCAGGTTTCCACTATATACACGTGAGCGCATACGTGCATGCAAATCCTTTACTGTGATTGGTTGTATAGGTTAGGTACCATATGATTAAAAACGTTACCGTGTTGTTGGACATAGCTGAACATTTTTTTTATACACGGCACATGCATATAGTGGAAACCCGCCTTTAAACTTTATAATAGTATAATATGTCTTGAGTGGTTAACCGGTTAAGAATCGATTACCGATATTTTTAAATACCGCGGATATAGATACTATAGCCGTGATAAATACCGAGTACCGATTACCATAGTACCGGTACCTGTATGAAATATAACATGTTTAATTTACTTTAGCTACATAAATAATGATAAGCTCGTAGCTACTATTATAATAGTTGAAGTGTAATGATTATTAACTTCATAAAACAGTTAAAACTAGTGCAATACAATTTTTTTTAGAAAACCGGTATTCATTGGGTTACCAATAACCGATATTTTTTTGAAGCGGTTATTTTTATTCGGTAACCAGTAATCTTGAATGTAGCACCGGTAAGTGGTTACCACTAACGACAGAACCGGTTTAAAACCAGTATGCGTTATTAAAAGAAGTTCGCTTACTAAGTGGTAACCGATAATCTTGATAACAGTTTCAAACCATGGTCCATGATCATAGAGTATATTACTCTATGACCATGTCCACTGTGAAATTTAAATTTCCTAACGTTGTGAAGGGGACGTTAATTTAGTGTTTCATGATCGACGCTGGTTTGTAACTTAAGCACGACATCATCGGTTTGTTTTTGTGTGCTAAAAAGTGTTGTAAACAGCTAAGAATTGATTATGATTTATAAATTTATGAAATTCATTTAAATTTATTATAATTTCTATAATCAATGATGAAACGTACCATAGATGTTTTTGAGTGCAGCTGTTATACAAGTTACGAAAAATCACATACACGCATGAAACGTACAATCGACGTTATCAAGGGGCTTTTGTTATAATTAGGCGTAACTCGTCGCCGGTGTAGTTTTCCAATTTTTGGGGAATATCCTGATACCCAGTATGCTCTTGGTTCATAATAAACAGCATATTATAATCCCAGCAATAAGTAATTGACAATTTTTTTTCTCTTTTTTTAGCTTCTAGTGTAAACTATGATAGCTCAACAATAATACAGATATACATATCGACAATGTTATAATAGTCAATGATGTGCATCATGTCCTGACTCGTTTGTTTGTCCCTTGGTAAATACGATATTATGCGTTTTACGGCTCTTATGTAGGTACGTCTTTATGGCCAAAGTTTGACCGTTCCTGTGTTCTACTGTTTTAAACAATTATTTATCAATGATATTGAGATTTATTATTTTATTATGGCCTATGATAAAAAGAAGGTATGTTTTACTTTGATCATGATTTAATTGTATATATTTTTTTCTAATCTTGTTATAACTTTGGTGTCAAAACATTATTATTATTACTAAATTATAATTCTAACTAAACTAAAATGAATTTAATTAATTTTTCAATTGTGTATGTGTATATTAAAACCATTGAGTACCTAATTATTGTATTTGTATCGATAGTGTATTGGAGGGTATACGTGTTTACACTAGATTACTGATTTAACATATATACCCTATGCAATTGGGGATACGAAGCTATACGCGCTTTTAAGTAGGTACGCGTACCTTCAAAACGAATCTAAGACAAAAGTAAAATAAAATATTAATTACTTTCAAAATAAATGTTTATCTTTATTTTCGGTGAATTTGTTTGGTCGTTCGGTGGAAAATTATTATTTGTTTATTGATAATCAATGTAGGCTTAAAATTAGCTTAGAATGTTTCTTGAAGAATCAGGTCATGCGGGCGTTCGCGTTGGAAGCGACGTTGTGGAGGTTGATGTTGATGCGGTAGTGCATTGAGTGTGTTGACTTGTTTTACTATTAGTATTAGAATAGGTTGAATTAATGTTTGCCGAAAATATTAAATTGTAAAATTGCATTATGCGTATAAAACATAATGATTTTACTAAAGTTTAATTTTATTTTAAGAACTTTAAATATCTATCTGTTTTTTTCCAATTTTAGCTTAAAATAGACGTTTAAAAAAACTGTGTTTTTATATTTTTTTGCTAACAGTATGAATTACTTAGGTGAAACCTTGTTAAAATTGTCAATCCTCATTATAGATGTACAATTTGAAAATTTTATACATATTAATTATAAGTACAAAATAGTTCACAATTTTCCTCAAATTAAAATTAGACTTTAAATGTTTATAAAAAAAAATGTGTCTGTATATTTAATATTTTTAGCCAAAAAAGCCTCTGTCAATAATGACTATTATAGTCATTGAGTCATTGCAGATAATGACTGATTTCCGACATTGAAGCTTGAAGGTAACATATGATTTATTTTATTGTAGGTAGGTGTATGTGTTATATAGACTTATAGTATAATAATAATTAACGCATTCAAAAAATTATTCGAACCACGTATCTTGGATTAGTATAATATAATAATTAAAACATTATATTTGTAAATTGATTCTTATATAAACTGTTTATAATGGATTTCATCAGTGGTTACCTTTAAATTCAGGGTTTAAAGTGGAAAAAAATTCCAGAGGGGACTAATGTCTCCATATAGTTTTAAGCATTCCATATATAATTTTATGAATAATGTCTTATGTATAAAATTCTAATTTGTTAAAGGAGACTCTTTTAAACCGCCGTCAGAGGTAAGGGGACTGAGTCCTCCTGCGTCTCCCCACTTTAACCCCTGCCTTTAATACGTTAAATACGTATAATAATATATTTTTACTGAATTAGTATAAAATCATATTTTTCCAAGGTTGAACACTGTCAATCCGCATATATTATATTTTAAATTAGTTGCGTATTGTTGATATATATATATATTTGAAATGTACTTAAACTTAGTCAATAAAATATGTACAAATAGTATTTTGGAAAATGTTTACTGTATAATGTGCTGTAAACTCATAACTGATATTTGGTTGCCTACTATTGTCTGTATTTTAAATAATTTTTATACCAATTGGCAATTTGTTTACTACGTTCAGGCATAGGTACATACTACTATTGATAATATATAATATATTATTTATGTTACTATTAAAAAGAAAAGTAGACACAATAGTGACAAGTACCTACCTTCACAAACAACATCATGCTTCAAAATTAATTTTAACCCAGAAGTGACTTTTTTACTTAACATTATTAAATATTAATTTTTATTTAAGATATCTCTACACTACTGGCGAGTTAATTATTTAGGTGGGTTCCCGGGATACTATTTGAGTTGAGATCTCTAATGAGGGAGGTGGATAGTTCACTATAGGTGGGATCGGAATTGTTTGTAAAATGTACATATTTGGTTTCAGATATGGTATCTATATGTGTAGGACGTGTAGGTTGGTCGGTTGGTGTGATTGAATAGGATTGGTATGGTTGGAAACGTAGAAAGGCCCACTTGTGAAGTTTAGCGAAGTGAAGAAGTGAAGTTTATTAAAACATTTTTAAGCTGAGTAAAGGTTACCGACGGCCCGTTGAAAATGGTGGTATGGACTGGGCACTGTAGCCCCGTGAGTTATCATTTTATACTACAGTATACTTATCAAATAATTAAACAATCTATAGTAAATTTATTGGTTTTGATACATAGAAAATTTACAATAACTGTATAGGAAAATAGGAAAATATGCTTAAATCATTAACGACAATAATGTAATGATTTTATTTATATACTCTAAGTTACATACACATTTAAAATTGCACCATATCGCCGACAATATATTGATAAATTTTTAAGCTTACAAGACCTCAGTCCAGAGTCATATTCCCAACACAGGTGATGGTTCGTCTGGATATGTATTGCCGGTGCAGGAGGGAACAGGGATATAGGGGTTCCTGACAATTGTCAACTTACTGAAACTTTATTACTCGCTGAGCATTGAAATTAGTAAATATAATTATGACACCTTAACTGAATTAAAATTACAATATTTATTACTCATTTATTCGCGGTTGTTTTTGATCGTTTTTCGATTTCAAACCTTAAGCTTTTGAGAATTGCTTATATGGGAGCCAATAACACCCATAATAGAACATTTTAATTTTTGTGTTCGATTTCCTATATCCATTAAGTGCAGGTTTTTGAAATATTTGGACGAGTTTTGAAGCCCAAAAAGTTTTTTCTGAATAAAACAAAACCAAACGCACAGTTGCACGTGTATAATAATAAGCTCAACCGCGGAGAACCAAAAATCGGGAAACATCATAATATATTATTATGCCCAAGGGCGCGTATTTTGTTCCAATTCGTCGTTTCTTGTGTCGATTTGTCAGCAGCCCCGGCCCCGCGCTGCGTCTCTGCAGTGACATGCCGTGATCCGTCCGCCAAGCGCCGTCGGGATTACGTCGCCGTTCTTCAGAACTGATTGGTCGCTTGGAAGTTGACCGAAATCGATATCGGGTGCACGATGACCGACGAACGGTTTTCGGTTAGCGCGTGGTCCAGGACGGGCGGTATGATGTCCCTGTTGACGGTCAGCGGTATGTAGTACGACCCATTGGCGTGCAGCGCGAATATCGGCACCTCCTGTCTGCAGTCTTCGGTGCAGTCGGACGATTCTTTCCGGCGCCGTTTCTTGCCCGGCGCGTAGTAATCGGCCAGGTCCTCGCCGCTGTTCTCGGCGCTGAACCGCTGTTTGATGTCCGTCTTGAACTTGTACATGGACCCGTTGGACGAATACGAGTCCGTCGTGAACGACATGTTGCACCTGTCCGCTATGGTCTGGACGGACATGGAACAATATTATGTTGTAGAAGTATATTATAATATTATGCATTGAGTAGGTTGATTATTATTATTATTGTCACATGTAACGCGTTACACACCTGGTCATATGACGCGTTTGCCGACGTATGAGATTTCAAGTTTTTCAAAGAAGGTTTTTGTTGACCGGTCTCGTCGTAAGTCCCCTCAACGTCAAGGTATGATAGCATGTTCGCGTTGAACTTGTTTACTTCCAGCATGATCTCTTGTTTCATCACATCATGGATCACTTGTTTCCCTGCGCCACGAATATCGATTATTTAATTAATAATTAATATATTATACTTAATATATTATATAGGTACACGGGGTACATCGGTGACACATACCTTTGATTATCTGAGCACAATGTTGCTGCAAGTGGTTTATGAGAGACAAGCACAATCCGTGGTTGGGCGGATATCCGTGCCCCTCGACGAGATACTGCATGGTCTCTGTCAGACATTCCAAAAACCCCATCTTGTACTGTTCTGCCATCAAAATGGAGTTTTCGGGTTGTTCGGGGGTAGAATTTTCGGATTTTTCGGCTTCCAGTGGTTCTGCGGGTTCACGTGGTGATGGCTGATTCACCGCTACATTATTAAAATATATTATTATGACCCTCTTGAGTAAGTAACGTAAATGTGTGTGATTTGTATTCAACGAGTATAGATAACCTATAAGTCGAGTGATCCAAAAAATAAAAATCCTTACCCGACGAGGAAACGTTAGATTGTAGGTACTTCATGTGTTTGATGGCCATTTCGATTATTTCGGTTTTTTCAACTCGACCTCGACCTTTTTTCATATATTCGGCTGGTATGAGTCGTGACAGATCGGCCAAGCAATTATTCATTCTATCGCGTCGTCGTTTTTCTATTATACGATGTGACATCGGGTCCTACAGCATAATAAGAAACATTATCAATGCATTGTTTGTTTATATTTTTCGTTAATGTATAATATTACGAAACGCTTCGTGTACGGAGAAATCGGAATTTTTTCATACGAAAATTATTGTCCTAAGCGATTTAAATATGACGGCAATTTGAATCGATTATGATCACGTTTTCGACATTACAAGAAACGTATTAATAACGTCATCGTGTATAAGAACACCACGTGATGAGCAAACGTCTTGATCGGGGGCGATCACGTTGTCACGCTGCTGTTCATTTGTAAGTAGAATGGGCTCGTATTATATGCCGACAATCGGGTTTTTCGGTACAACGTGATCGGGACAGGTTCTTAAAAAAAACAACAGACGGGTCATGGAGGTTGGATCAATATTTAATATGATAAACGTTCAATACCTGTGGTTTATGGTAAACGAGTTGACGGTAAACGTCAATTAAAAATTTGGATATATTTTTATTATTGTATAGGAACAGTAAATGTATATGGATAGACAAATATATGTATATATATTTTATTCTGCAATTTTTATAAGATAGTTTCATGTTTAAAGGGTTGTAAGGTTTCTACTAGAAATACTAGAAGTATTTAGAATGCTCAGGTAGATACCTAATCTTAATTATTATTATACATCTTTATAAAATTGTCTCATAAAATACCTTATGATATTATATAAACAAAATTCGAATCTTCCTATTACAAATGTTATACCTTTTATCTACTAAACAGTTTTTAAATTAACTTATTTTACTTACAATTGAAAATGCAACAGAATAGATGCAATAATTTATAAACTAATTTTAAAATCGACCTTCATTTTATAATAAGACAATGTAATTCGTAATATATTGCTTATTGTATGTGCTAAGCTATTCTATCTATTATTCTCGATGAATTATTCGTTGTTTTTATTATGTGACATTAAACCACAACTAATTATCATTATGTCGATAGATCACATATAATGTTATTTTACTGTATGTACCTACAAATATATGTTGCATTAAACAGAATGTTCAGTCATTGGCAGTCGAAATTCTATTAATATTATCTACGTCCGAATACCTACTCTGAACTATGTTTAGCTAAAATGTAGTAATTTACACCTGGTTTAATACATTTTAGTGCCTATTTAATTACATTAAGATCTTTATCAAGGCATGTCTATCGAAAATCAAAATTTGTTTTAAGAAATATTTTCATTAAGTAATAATTATTATCATTTATGAGTATCTATAGATTTCAATAATTCAGTAAACAGCTTTTTAACACATTGATTGTATGAATTAATTAAGATGATTAATAATAGTGATTTATCAAACCTCAATTAATATACATAAGTCGAATACAGTTACCAGACAAACTTTTTTTTACATAATCTTTATGCATTAGGTAAGATTACAAACAAACACAGTAATATGCTACATTTATTCAGAAATAATTGTTTATGTATTTATTATTTTACTTTTAAATTTTTGTTTTTCAATAAATTCTTACTTACAAGTATTTGATTACGAGCTTAACATAAATAAATATTTATGCGGAACCTAAGGAAAATAATAGCATTCAGTTAAAATAAAGTTATTCTGTAGTATTGGTGATAGAGTAGCAATCGATGAAGTATAATAACGTTACGAAAAACACTTGTCGATAAGTGATACTTGGATTGAAAGAAATATAATTTTATACATAATATACCAACATTAATACTGGCCGATTAAATTAAGCTCACTGAAACGATAATTATTAATTATACCTATGGGCCGTGACAACTTGTTTATAGTTTCTCCTACTACCAAAACAACTATTTTTTTTGAATTTGTATGTTTGATTTTACCGCAGTTTACTTAAGTAGGTATCGAAGAAAATAATCCGTGAGTTTAATGTTGAGTATACACGTATGCAATGAGTTTATTAAGTTCTCATTAAGTTATTTCCATTGTTAAAGCTTTATATTTTAAGTTTATAAATAGAGCAGTTCACTTTATAGGATTAACTGTTACCTGTGCCTAAATTTGATTTTTTATATATCAATTTCACATGTGAATATTATAACCCACTTATAGGTTATTTGTAATCATAATAATACAATATCCAAGCTGTATCTTCATGTATTATTTTATACTACTGACACTAAATTTATTGTATAAATTCTGAACACTCTTATAATCATATATTGCAATATGATTATCACGCAGACAACTTTAAAGTATGCAAAGTCTTGAAAATGTAAATAAATAAATGTTTGTTAGCACTTGCAGTCGAGCTGTTTTCGTCGTGTTTACATTTCAGCTAATATATAATAATTATACATATAATTATATCGTATTAAATACCTATTTTATATAGACATGTCATATGCATAATAGTTATAACACTAATAACTACCTATATAATACGAATAACGTTTACGACTGATAACCATATTCGAGTGTTGTCGTAGGAATACGATGGTAAACGACTGTATCTGCTCAGGTATCTGGTATATTCAGGCTATTGTATGTTACTTTGAAGCCGATTATAATATTTTGTATCTAATACCTACAGAAAACCATTGATGTCATCAATTTATATTTGGAGTTGGTGAATGATCGACCGACCATCACCATTATTATGCCGTTAAATTGCGTATTCATACCTTTGATTTTTTACAAAATCCCCTAATACTTTTAATAGGATAATTATTATAATATTTACATAAAAGTTGTAGTCTATAAATGTAAATATATTTATTTTGTTTTTACATTTTGACTTAAAAACAATTTACATATAGGGAAAAATCATGATTTTACAGGTGTAAAGAACATAATACCAATAGATAAACAGCTAATAAATATACGTCTAATAAATATATGTCTCAAACTATTTAATGTCATCACGTGTGTGTTATAAAACAAATATTATACCTATCCCATTAATCATAATATTATATTGCACCAAAATGATAAAAAAAAGAAAAGAAAAAAAATCTTAATTCTTATTTATTATATCATTACAATTGTCATAGGGTGCACCAGTTTTTTCATACATCATATTATTATTATATTTACATATTAGTGTACGGTTAGACGCATCAATTGAGCCGCCAGTCTTGTAATGTGTAAAAGATGCTTTTAAATTTCTAGGTACACATGCAGATACTTATTTTAAAAAGTATTTAAAATCTCAGTAAAAACAGTATTTGAGTAGGTACAAAAAGAGATACTTTAAAATGACGTATCCATGGATGATATTTTTTAAACTAAAATATTTTTCTTAGCATTTTTTAGTTTTATATACATTTAATGGAGAATTTTACATCATTTCATTTGGTGTAACTATAAATGGCGCACCTGCTTTTTTTCAAGGTTTTTGGTTACGGGCATAGATAAATATACGGGTCACATAAAAATAAAATATTATTACATAGGTACCAATATTATATTACTATGTTTTCAGTATTTTACGCTATTAAACTAAAAATATATTAACTAAAAATAAAAAGTATTTGATTTTAGATACAGATACTGTAAGAAAGTAATCAAAATACTTTGCCCAAGTACTTTTTTCAAAAGTATTTAAAATACGTATTTGAGTGCTTTAAAAGTATTTAAAAGTATTTACTCAATTACTTTTTCTCAAGTACTCTACAAGACTGTTGGTCAATTTCGAACCTTTCCTCCCATGAAAGGCGTCGTCGCAGACTATCTGAGGACTTTTCCAAAGCGTCACTCTCGCCGACTAAATAGATTTTATTTTCTATATTCTTCTCTTCCAGGACGATTTATATAGAATAATTACTCGTTTAAATTTTGTTTAGATACAATACAATAAATTCGAAAAAAAATTAATCTGCTTAACAATCAGCAGTAAAAAGGTTTTATCTTATCGTTTGGAAAAAATTGAAATTTGTATCACCACAGGATACCCTTCAAATGGAGTAATAATCTGAGACTTTATTCTAAATGATTGAAACTATGGTATTTCAAGTACCTACACACTTAAACATTAAACAAATTAGAATTTGAATGAATTTATTATATTAAAGGAAAAAATGGGTAGAGCGTGGTTGGTGAATCACCAGAATACGTGAATCACCTATCTCCTAATAATCCTAACACCATCGACACACGCACATACCTCTTTGCTGACGTTCTTTAACTGATTTCGGTGCGGACCAGTTCTTTCGGCATGTTGCTGCGTTTCCCCATCGAGGTTTTCACATTGCTCCTCATTCCTTTGCTGCGGCAACTGTACCGAAACAGCATGAGATTTTCCGGACAGTCTGTCCTTCATGGCACTATCGTGGTGCGTTATTATCATGTCTGACACCATGGACACCTGTGGAAACACGGACGGTTAAGTACCCTATGTAACACTATGAAAATAAACCCATAGTGTCCTAAAATATAATGTATGATGAAGACATTTTTCAAATATCGCTCGTCGTTCAAGGTATTCTCAGCGATTTCCGTTATATACCCAGCTGTCTAATTTTATTAAGACAGTTATATTTTTTCAAAACTGCTACTGTGACTCCAAAGACTCCCGCCGGACAAAAATTCATATGGCTAGTCACAATATAGAAGTAATAACTTTTTAAGTGATCACCGTAGTACCTACCCAACAGTCCCATCAAGCCGCGTCTCTTTGACGTATATAGGTACAATTTTAAACTTGTAATTTGTAAGTATTTGTAACTTTGGTACAAATAATATTTTTGCTTTAAAAAAATGTATGATTTTAGCTATGCACAGCAATGACTGTACACAATAACACTTACAGGGGACTATTTTTTTTCGAAACCGGTTGTTTTTTATGTCCTGACCGAGGCTTAACATACAAGAGGTTCGGTGGATTCTAAAAACCAGTACTTAGGTATAAGTGTCCAAATCAAATGTTTTAAAACGTTTCGAAGACGGAAAATATCCCATCAGCCGACACGGAAATAAAATACAAACAATTCAAAAACGCGTCCGCGGCACTCACCAAATGACGGTTTCAGTTTCGTGCAATCCAATACGCGTGGTGTGAACCCCGTTCGCCAATGGCCAGCCGTACTCGGTAGAGATGATAATATTATAATATAATTAATAATGAATTATATTTAATTATCTTGCGGCACTGCGACGATCGGTAGGTAAAATAATTGTTACAAAAACAGTATGTTTGTCGAGAGAAACGACACGAAAATTCACCGAAAACTATAATTATTTATTATGGTTGGCGGGCAGATCGAAGACGACCGAGCCAAATTTCCGGTATCGCGGACGGTGCAGTGGCGGCAGGGGAAAAAAATATACACGTATTGCCACTGTGCGAAATAACAATAACGATACAATCACTTCGTGTTATGACTGCCGTACAATGGTAAATATTGTTGTTGTTTGCCGTCGTAGACACTAGGCGAAACGGTACAGTGTCGTAATTTTCTTTCGGTACGCTGCCGAAAAACAACAAAAACAATAATATTAATAATACTATTACAGCGGCAGAACGGTTCGCGAACTGAACGACTGCACTGGACGCGGCACAATAGTACAATACGAAACTATAGCACAGATTAACGGTCGTCGTTCGTCGGGCGGCGGTGGCGGCGGCGGCGTCGGGACCGGTACGGTAGCGCGCCGCCGTGCGTGCCGCGTCAGTCGCGCGCTCAAAGCTGCTCCGGGACCGGCGGTGGCGGGCCCAGTGTTGCCACCGAGCTGACGCGTGCCTCGGTCGCCCGCCCGCGAAGGGCGCACACGTGCTGTCCCGCCGCCGCCGCGTTTATCGTCTTCTATAAATAAAAAAAAAATTAGTAATTATTAATTTATCTCACGGTACGTCGTCGTTCGGCGTAAACGCTCACTCACTCACGCGCACCGCCGACACGGCACTACAACAATATCAAACATATTGTTATAATGCATATTATTATAATAGGCATTATTGAAAAGCTACAACCAATAAATTATTATTATTATTATTATTATTATTAAAATCGTATGCAACACCGCGCGCACCAATTATGCCGCGGTGGTGGGTAGGCACCCACGATATGAGCACCGGGCGCCGTCGGTCGGATCGCGCCGCCGGCCAGCACATTGCGCCGAACGTGACAGCGCCGCCGTGTGCGCGGCTAACGCGTGTCGCGTGATCGTGTTACGTTATGCTGCGGCAACGTGCGGTATTATTATTATTATTATTATTATTATAATATCATGTATTTGTAACTACGTGTATTTATTATATTATTATTATTTTTACGATTATTATTTTATTGTATACGCTTACAAAGCCGCCGCCGGCGCCGGGCTGCCGCTAAGGCGCGATAGTAAATTTTGTAAAACGCACGTGACGGATTTCGAGACAGGTTCCCTTCGCGATTTCAAATAAGGTAGACACTTCAAATCAACGGATTTTTCTCCCTTTATTATTGTTATTAGTAATAATTAGTATTATAATGGTAAACGCGAGGTACTACCAGCGGCCTACTCGTAGCCTGCAGGGCTGTGCGGGCTGAGGGTTGCTTCAAGCGGTTTTTTTTGTGGGCGAACGGCGTGGTGGCAATGATTAAAAGGGCTACAATTGTCTTACCGCGTGTACTTGAAATATAGGTAGGTGGTAGTGAAGCCATTGGTTAAGTTTACTCAATCAACGGTAGAGCCATTCATCGTTAAGTACAAAAACAGACATAATATTTATTTATCAGGTAATCATCGAAATATATTGTGTTTTAACATACGCCGCGTAATATATTAATTATTAAATGCATTTTCATTTTTACATTTATAGTTTATTACCTTAGTAATGAACACCTTATATGTATTATAATATCGGAGTACAAAATCGATGTAAAAAATACCTAGTTAGTGGCTATTAGACGTAAATCGAGCTACAGATATAGAGTGCATTCTTAAAATGTTTGTTTCTACCCATCTACTGTATATTATTACTACCTGTTGACTGTTTATCAATGAAAGAATCGACCATGGGGAAGCAAGGTATACATTGGCAAATTACAAACGTGTCATCTGGTGCCCAACGGCTGGTGGTTAAACGGGCGCAGTGGCGATTTTATAGTCTTCATAACTCAAGGAGCAAGTTTATAAACAACCCACCCACCAACTACATTTACTAGGACCAATGTAATATTTTCGGGTTCTTCTTCAGTTAAATTTTTCATTAACTTTTACAATTTATGATATCGATACACTTATATTTTACGTGAATGATCAATTTTCTGTTATGAATTATAAATAAGCCTGTTAAACTTAGAACATTTTGTTTCCCGATTTTTGGGGCAGGAGCAAGTCATTCTTAGTATTCTTATAACAAGTCTCCCCTGAACGGGCAGCACCCGTTTCGCCCAGATACCAGGAGTATTATATTTAACCAGCTTGTGATTAATGGAGAGTTAGAATAAAAGTTATTTTAATTGAAATAAGAGTGAATAATTCACACGCATTTGTTGTGAGCTGTATCGCCTGTATGCTCGCCGAATGCAAGCCCATAATGTTGGACTAAATACACTGTCCCCGGAAATATGGTTGTCCACTAAAAAATTGCAATACTTAACTAGTTTAGTTGGACATTGAGTCATAAAATCTTGAGTAAAACAATCGGATACTTCACAGTGGGTTCTAAAAATATTAAGCCATAAGTATGTTGAATCCAATTACCAATACTCGTATTTTTTGTATTCAGTTGCTAAACCATATTTTTAAACCTATAATTTTAAAATAGTTTTGAGTAGACTATATTAATTTGTCATTTGTACTATATAACTGTAATAATGTATACTTGAATATGCATTTTTCTAAAGCTTTTGCTATGACTTTTTACGAACATTTTAGTAAAAAATAAGTATGTATAAATAGTGTAAATTGTGTAATGCTTTTTTAAAAATAGTTTATAATAATACATATATATTGTATTATTTGAAAATCATTGCCAACTTAATTTGAAATTAAAATGGCGTTGGACGAAACGAGAAAGGTTAATTTTGGGCAAAACTGGCCCGCACCCGGTTAAATTGAGTACCTATGCCACTCTAGCAAACAATAACTAAAATTTCAAGTAAGATAAGGAAGTCTGATATTAACGTTATACCTCGAATCGAATCGTTATTATATACATTTTTATGCTATATTATGGTGGAATATTATTTTAATGTTCGAAACAACAATTATTTACAATTTACAAAAATAATAATTTATTACAATAATAATATGACACGTCATCGCTAATTGAGCTCACTAAAATTATTAATAAAATAAGAAGTAATCTTAAACTATACACGCGTCTTAAAAAAACATTTTCTAGTGGCCTGGTAAAACTAATATTCGTATACCTATAGTTAGAAGTAAGAACTGATAAATTTAATAGAGGAGATTTTAACAAAGAACGCAAAAAATATTATCTAGGTATATAGATACTGTTATTATATAGTAACATATAAGTAATATCATTATCCATTGAGTATATATTGTATACAAATACAATGTATAGGTACTCAATGGTAATATATACATACACAATTGAAAATGCCTAGTTAAATTAATTATCTCTATACCTAACGATCAGCATTTCAATGGTGGTTTATTTTAGCCTTAAGTTAAACCAAAAACTATGTTTCAGGTGAACTTAAAAGGTAAACGTCTAGTTCAATAGTTCATTTCAGCCATGTATTTAGCTAGAAGCTTCAAAAGATTTGTATATCATATATTTTATAATAATATGCGATATACAATACAATAATTATATTGTATAACCAGCCAACATGTTATCATTGTTACCCTCATCATATTAACTAAAGTAATAATTTTCAAATTTTCAGTTTCAATTTAATTTGCATATATGAACTGATTTATTTGTTTCATAATATTTAATAATATTACGTCATCTTCGTCTGTTTGAAATTTGTAAAAAAAGCATTTAATGAGAAAAACTGCTTACATAATTTACACTTTAACAACGATTTTCAATTCAAAATTTAAAAATAAGAAAAATAATTATGGAAATGGCTAGCAAGGCCCTCCAAGGTACCTTTAGGACTATTATTTAGACTATAAGCAAGGAAAAAATTAAAATTTTCGTAATTTGGGCTACATCGTCATTTATATGAATAGTCAAGCCCAGTTTGCAAGGCACTACTCCTTGTTTATAAACCAGGTCAAACAATTGGTGTTTGAAAAACGATTTTCCACACTTTATTTCTACTTAAAACTAACATTTGTGAAATTTTTATTTTTTAAAAATGTAGATTACAAGTCCCCTTAAATTTCTAGGCTAGTTTTGAAATTCCCTAGGAAATCTTTTTACCTCACAATTCAAAAACAAGTAAAATAATTATTAAA